TTTTCATCGGGTGGCGGGACCAAACGGTGAAAGCGTTTTGAATGTCTAGAATTGGGTACGAAAATGTTCCTTACAAAAATGGCAAAAGAAATATTGGGGTCATCTTCACTGACTTTTCCTAAAAAAATCTGACGATGACCAGAGCTTTCAAGTGTCGGGTTTTCCCAAGATAGCGAATGCTTTGTTGATAACGCCGTTTAACCACAAACTCCTGGTATACTGAAGGTTGCTTATCTCCTTCATGGAAACTCTGAACTCATAGCACCGAAGCAGCAGGAGTTGAAGGTCTTCCTTAAGAAAGGTCTTGAACAATGAATTGCAATCAAGCAATGCGGCCGTAATTGCAATTAAGTTGTTTAAGCAAGTACTTGTACAGTTTACGACACGCATTTGTCATGCTACTTCATAGAATGTTCACTACGGTGACCGTGCAGTCACCAACCTTTACCCCCATTTCCTTCCAATTATGACATGTCTAATGGGAAGATCGACAGCTTACTATTATTTTTTACATCGGTTCATCCTGGCAGAGTACACGATTTTTTGTGACAGCCTTTCGTTTGTGCATGTAAAGTCACGCCAGACTGCATTTAACCGTCTTTTTGCGGGTCGGGCCGCCACCGATGAAAGAAACGCGTTTATTTTCGCTGATCGTAGCGATTGAATTTACTATGTTTCTTTGAATTTCACTCCATTCTGAGATTTTTTTACATTTTTCGCCGATTCTTTTTAAATACAGCTTCCCATCGACTTCGAATTGGATTTGATTCCTCAGCATCAAAGCCATCTTGGAATCGACCAAATATTAAACGCAATTGTTAATTTTGACACAGAGAACACAAATCAATGTGGCCAAAATCCTGGTAAAAGTCAGGATTTGGGGATAGGTTATGTTAATTTCACCGGCACAGCTTCCCCCAACAGATTTTAGCAAGCGGCCCCCTCACTGGTTTCCATCAGTTGCTCGGGCCGTGGAGCCGGGCCGGGCCGAGGCAAGCTTGGCCGGGCCAGCAGGTCCGCGGGTCGTCCTGGAATGCGTCCGGGCGGGCGGTGCCGGGCGGCCGGGCGGCGTTATTGATTGCGGGCCGGCGGCCGGCGCGGCCGGCGCCCCCTGCAGCGGTGGAGCGGGCCGTGCCGGGCAGGGCCGAGGCCGCCGCCGCCACCGGCCCGGGGCGGGACCACCGAGCGCCTCGGCCGCCGGCCAAGACGAACGCCGCATGGCGGGCCAGGCCAGTGACACGACGCCGCCGGTCCAGCGACGCGACACCGGCCGAGCAGCGTTCACGTCCGGTCACCATCGATCCCGGGCCGCAGGCGCTGACGGTGACCATCCGAAGCACGCGCCTCGCCGCCTCCACCAGCTGCCTGTTAATGAGGCGTGGGGTGAAGGTCCGTCCGTCGCCGCCCCGCCGGCCGGACCAGGTCGGGCGGCCGGCGGGCGGGGCATGGTGGAGGGGGGGGGGGCGCACTGCGGGCATCGTCGGTCGGGGGCGCGCCGCGGCGGTTGGAGGCGGGCGCACCGGTGCCGACGGCCGGCAGTGCTGAGTCGGAGGTGGCCCGGAGCGGCATGACAGGCGAGACGGCAACATGAAGGCACTCTTCTCAAAGCTGCTGTGAGTGGGCGTGGCCGGCTCAAAGTCCGCTGGGGCGGTGTAGAGAATGTGTCGATTCCTTGTCCGCGGGGGGCAGTGTGACTTTCCCATCAGGGTAGAGGGCAGCTCTGTGCTGTTCATCGAGACGGATTTGGGCTCTGAACGACGTCCACCAGGGCTGAGGGCGGTTCTGTGTTGTCTGTCAGCAGAGTGATGGCGTGTCAGCAGAGACCGATACAGAGTGTGGCTCTGTGCTGTCCACCAGGACAGAGTGTGACTTTGCTTGCGGATGAACGCAGTGTGCCTATGTGCCCGCCGCGGACGGGGTGTGGAGCTGGAGATTCTCAGCATTTTGGGATTTAAATCCCTGGGTAGGTGAACTGGCAGAGGGGTAAATTGTTTGGATTACCATTTTTCCCTTAATTATTTACACCAGACGAGGATATGAGTCCGAACCATAATTCCGTCCATGACGCTAATACCTCGTCTCAATCTTTACGTAAAACTTTGAGTGGACTTGGTTTCGGGTTGAAGCGAATACATTTGGAAATATTCGAATCCTTGTATGGAAACCTCTAACTAATATAATGGGATAAAAACGAGTACAGGTGACTAAGTCTGTTGCAGCACCAGCATTTACGTGTTCCATTTAATTCCCCGAAGAACATGTGAGCATGCATATTATTGGATATGTCTAATCATGTCTTTAAAAAGAGTTTTGACGGCTTGTTGACTTCTGAAATTTGAATCCTGATTTTCGGTGTTGGAATCCTGGTTCTTAAGATCCAACGTTTTACGGAACTCCAATCTATTCTAGTCCATTTTCATCCTGCGAATCTTAATCCTCAGTCACAGCAGGAGGTGGCTCTGTCTTGTCGTTACAGTGCTGCCCTGTATTTTCCTTCAGGACAGAGTTTAGCTTTTTGTCGTCCGAAGCAGGGTGTGGCTCTTTGTCATCCATCAGTACAGAGCGCGTGCTCGTGTCTCGTAACGGAGTGTGACTGTTGATTGTTTATGAGAACAGAGTATGGCTCCATGTACTGTACATCAGGAGAGAGTCTGCCTCCCCATCCGCCGGGGCAGGACGTAGAGCTCAGGATAGCTCAGAGCACGTAGCTCTTGAGTGATGCCCTGCGTCCGTCGGGATACTTTTCCGGTGCTGTGTGCCCGGACAAAGTATGGCTCTGTGTCTGCTGGAATACATATGTCTCTGCTGTTCACTGTGCGAGGAAGTACGGCCTCTGTCCACCGATGGTGGAATGTAGTCTTTGTGTACATCGGTGGTGGGAGTTAAGAGCTGCGGGTCACGTGACTGTCACGTCACTGGGTCGTATCTGGTCTTCGGCAATGGAATGCGGTGGCGACTGGAAGAAGCACGGAGCTGCGCTGTCTCTGCGAAATGGTTCGGATGGCCTCGGGCTCTGAAAAGTGAATGAGCAGGTCCATTACCTGGGGTACGTTTACGGAGAGGAAATTGGTTGATATCGGACATGATACGAACAAGTCAGTTGCTTATTACTTATGAGCACTGCAATACGATACCCTTTTACACAACACGTCTCCATCCGCGAGCTCTGATTGTTTTTGTCGTCTCATTTCACTTGTGCAATGGCTCGGCAGTGTCCATGAAAGTACATTCCTGGCGCAGAATCGGTGGGGAGGGGGGGGGGGGAGGGGTCGATAGCATCGAATGGCTGTGACCTATAAGGCGGTCGTAGTGATAGTATCGGACGTATCGTGCTTGTACCGGCCGTGTTGTGTGCCAGCGAACAGACGTCAGGTGCTCAAAACATCACGATTGTTCCAAAAATCGGCTGGCAGCGGTATTGGCAGAACAAAAGTACTGGAAAACGTACTAAATGCCGTGTGAAAACGAACAAATGCAGACTATTCACGTCACAGTTCATACCGGACGAATAATTACCTTATTCGCTGACTATACTGCACACCAACATCAGGAAATGAATGGCTTTATAAGGCTGTGAACTTATCACGAACTTCCATTACCCAGTCCGCTGGTTTCCAGAAAACTGGCATATAGAGTATAACACACTGCTCAGAACCACTCAAAACTCTCCTAACCATGAACCGTCGCATACCAGCTACAGCGGACGAACTGGAGAGACTTTGCCTGAAAGAGGATATCGTTTATTTTAAATTTATGAGACCTACTCTTCATCTGGGCGCACCATATTGATGGTACTGATGCTAAGGACGCACTCCTGTAAGTTTCGACACCAATGTGCACCGGAAAATAGTCGCATTAAGTATAGTTATCACGATGAAAACAGAATAGGCAACAGCTGAAACCGACATGGCATGTATCCGATGTGACATATTTGTGACAACGTGTCATATGACCATGCCGCACTATCGAGAATTGTCTGTAGCATGTTCACTGTCCGTTTCACAAGCCACTTTTAAGGAAGAGTGATTTGCGCAAAGCACTGAATAGTAGGAAGGGTGCGTCAAAACTGACGCCGTCAAAATCAAAGCATTGTGACGTCACCAAACGGCCGTCGATCCGAGCGTCAGACGAAAGCTGGCCCGCCCTACAGCAAAGCTATGCGGCACAGCATAACACCTCTCCGTCGGAGGTTTCAGCCCGGTTTAGCCAGCTCATCTGCGCGTCCACCAAGACTGCGGTGAGGTACAAAAGGCTCATGATCATGAGAACGAAGAAAACACTGAGTTCTACCTCTAGCCTACTTACCGCGTATATGTTCTTGGTAAGGACATGTCGAAGTCTACCGAAACACGAACTAGTGTTACTAAACGTACCTTCCAGTGACTGATGGCTTCACCTTGTCCATGGGCCTTCGTAAAGTACTGGAACTACCTTCGTAAATTGTGTGGACCTGTCGCACCCCAGCATTACGGCGTTCTTTTGTCCATGACCCATCACCTGGCTGGCTCGCGAAGCTGCCGAGCCGGGCAGGTCATACGCCACATGTGCTGCAGTTGATGTAGTTTCGCTGACTATACTTTTACCTGTTTTTTCATATGGGCGAATAAAGAAGTGGTGGCTTTGAGACCGGAGTTTTTAAAGTTAAGTTTGTTGTAAAGGCCCCTAGTCTTTTACCGCAGTGAGACTGATACCAGTAAAAGGGACTGGGAAGTTACCGGTCGGCTGTTGCTGGCGAATTCTCGTGGGTGGTGTCTGGAACGCTAACTCACATAGTCTGTCACGCTGGGAGCCAGGTGTCCAACACTTAACAAACTGAGCTACGGAGACAACGATTACGATTGAATTTGGCTGATTGAACAGCCGATGTGCTTGTTTCACTTTTCGTCATTTATCGACGCGTGCAACTGCTGAGGTGACTATTGCTTCAAACGCTTGTGGAAACCGGGCCAGTGGAAGTTTGGCGCGACGGAGGTAGTGTACGTAACGTCTCCGTTTTACAGGCCGAACCCCACTGGGCCAAACGACAACATGGTCCACGCACCAATGAACAACGCCACTGGAATGCAGAGGTCTATGCCCAGGGTGAGTACACCAACCCTCCTTTGGATGAAAATCGGTGCCAGCAAACGTCTGGGTTCTTTGTGATACTTAAGTATGCTGACTGCTACGTGGATCATTTGGATGTGGGCCGCAGCCGTACCAACGCGGCCACATCCTCAAGCTTTTAGGCCAGATGCTTTCGTCGTGGGGTTCCGAGGGCTTCTCTGACCTGAAGTCTGCCAGTTGTTAGGAACCAAAGCAGACACACCGCTTCGTGAGAAGATGGCGACGCTGCAGCATGATGTGTCTCGCAGTGTAGAGCATGGGTGGATTTTCCGTGTTGTAAGCTATACCATAGTGCCATTGGACCAAGCGCGATTGGTTGAAATGCATCACTACCTGTAGTATCCCAGCAATAGGCCACGTGGTGCGGCAAGAATATGACCGGTGGTGGACAAACCGTGTTAACAGAACTTCTTCATGTGTAAATTTCTTGCAGCGAACATTGCAAACGTTAATGAGCAGCCAATATTGCAAGCATTGAATTGGGAAGCATAATTGCTAAGCGTTATCATATTACTACGTAGGTTAAGATACGTACGTACGTGCGCATCGGATGTGGTACTCAGGTGTAATCAAAAGACTGTCGTCGATTGCCACAAGACGTAATCGCTGCCTTTCCATGACGTTCGTACATGTGCAAGTTATTTAGGATTACAGCACGGTAATAGGTGGGTCCGGAGTCTACAAACCAGGTCATGTTTGCAGTGAACCTTATGGTCACCAATTATGTTAGGAGTTAGGAGTAATGTGCAAGGGTTCCGACAAACTCGCGATCGGTTCTCCTCAAAAAGATAGCGTAACCAAGTTACGTATATGCTGTCACGATATTCTTACCCTGCATTTATGCATGCTCTTCATTGAGGGACCTGATTTACGGCGATTGCGGTCTTTGCTGGATGAGGCCAAACAGGTTGAGGAGTGACACATATACGAGTCGTTTGATGTTTCATCGGAATTTTGAATAAGACAGCGTACCTTTTTTATTATGGGATTACTTTTGCCAGAGATCAAAACCAACGTCAATATCAGGCACGATCACATTGGACGTCGGGAAAATATAACCAAATTGCGTATGCATTTCTCAGAATCTTGTCAGCAGTTCAAGAAAGCAATTCTTTCATGCAGTGATGATTTGTGATAAAATAAACTACTGTCACACATGATCTGACGTGGCCATAACATATCACATAGCTAGGAGCTATTTAAATGAACTTTCGAAGCGGCGTAGGTAGCTATTCTTGACTATTGGATTACACCAAATTTGTAAAGCAAATGTATATTATATATATTATATGTATGCATATCTATATATATATCTATAAGCTGACTATTATGGCTTCTGGTCCAACCCTTTACGCATATCCGACGCTGAAAATATGTCTTGAACCCGAGATATGTGGAAAGTATTCTTCGTTTACCGGATAATCACTTTCTGTATGCATATCTTAACGCCACATATGGCCTGCAATATCGCACGTGATTGATTTATGCCGACATAAATTGCTAAGCCGTAGGCGAAATGTCTATAACAGCACGGAGACCTCCAGATATGAACATTAATATCGCGTTACAATGTCAGCCCTATATTTGGTCTGTAGTTCACGGCGTAATCAATAATGATACAATACACCAGTTGATGTGTGGTTGCGCAAGTACAGCTTGAGATGAGCCTGAAAACAGTTTTTTTCTGACGTGAATGCCTAACTTTCACCGCATTTTAGCAAGCCGTGACAAGGGCAGCAAAGCAAGCTATTGATCTGCCGCAAAATAGCACGAGGTCAGGGTAACCTGAACCTGTGGCAACAGCTTCATGCGACGTACTAAACCCGTTAGCACCATGGAATGGTTGTACAACGAGATAAATGCGATAAGGCGAATAACACAACTGATTCGGCGACTAGAATGGCACTCACAGCGTCAATTGAGTTAATGATGATGTGTGGTGAGTTAGTACAGCACGAGTCAGCACAGCACGGGTTACTACAGCTTCGTCAGACTAATTCTCTTTAACGTGTTATGGTGCTCTTTTAGTGGTATTGCGAAATTCAAGCTGCTGATATCCATATTGTGGAATTTGCTGGCAAAGAACAGGTGTCCTCATTTTCCTCCCAGCTGGTTTTAGAGGGCAGTGTTCGTCATAATGCATTAATATATGCTCCGACCACGCAGTGACGACATCAGCGTTGTAAAAACACGTTGCACACTAAATTATGATGATATCATAAAAATAATTGTGGCTCAGACTTGTACGGACACAGAATACAAGCATTCCTCTCTCAACACGCGCCCGGGCAGCCGGTTGACTCCACTTTGCTCCGGCGTGGGTCAGTCTGAACCCCCGCTGAGATCTCAAAAAGCAAGAGAGCTAGAAACGCCAAATTTACATGGTGGATTGTCCTCTATGTAAACTCACTGATTCTAAATGTGAAATTCCGAGGCCATTACCTTTCGGTTGAATAAAGCCAAACAAAGTAAAACTTCAGATTAGTGTCCAAAGCGCTACCAGACGTCCTCATACACCAACCTGACACCTAGATACCTGTTCTAAGCAAAAGATGACTGGTGTTAATTTACGGTTAGACATTGTTTGGCTTTTAGAAGGTTATAGTGACCAAAATCCTAGAAGATTGTTTGGATCTTTGCATTTAAATAAACATGAAGAATTACGCAAATAGGTAAAGTCCTAAAAACCAAATGTTAACTTGGATCATTTCAGGTCAGTGACCTATTCTAACTTTAAACAAGTTCATGGAGGACGTCAGCTGTAGTCCCTGTTCTTGCTAAATTCGACATGAGCACCAGAGACTACCCCACACAGTAAGCTTTGGAGTAAAAAGCCAGGTTGGTTTTGACCTCTGTTTGACTCTCGAATCTGACCCTACGTCAGCAGAATTTGTTGCCATCGTAAATTAAATTAGTTAATTGCCTAAGAAACAACCTCCTTAGAAACTGCATTCGTTGACAGCCTTGCTCGAAATTGCCTTCACTCGCACCTCACATATTCTGATGCAGCTGTATATCATGTCTGCAATGTCAGGGCGCAGTCGCAGACTGAAACCTGATTGGTTAAATCACGGGTGCAACCAGACTGGTGAGCAACAACACTTTCGGCGGTAACGACAGTGGTGCGTGCCAACACTCGGACGTAACTCAAACCGACATTTGGGTGATATTTTGTATAGCCTTAATGACGCTTGCACTCGAGCTTGACAACACGAGTAGCTAGAAGTGTCAACAACGTTACAAAGTTTGAGTGTTCCGAGAACAACACATATTGCGCCTATTTCAAGATGCGTGCTGGCTGCCATCCAGGTATACAGTCTATGAAGATATTTGCGCGTGATTTAACGAATAGGTCATTTATCTGCCCCATACGAATGCATTCATTGCTGCTAATTACCTGAGCGACATCGCCTGAAAAGATCAATGACACCTATGCTCTTACATGCCATTACATTCTCACTCAGCATTGGTTAAGCGCTAACTGATGCAAGATCATCAATGAAGCCTGAAGTCTATCTGGTGCCTTCTAACAGCATAAAAAACTCCTTCTCGCAAGTCCTATTTCACGTGCTTTATGACGCGATCTGACAGCAATAAACAACTCCTTCTCGCAAGTCCTATTTCACGTGCTTTATGACGCGATCTGATCAGCTCGATCGTGACGAGCATGTAGGGGAGCCGCACGGCAGCCGCGCTGGCCACAGCGGCGGCTGAGTGACGCCAGCTGTGAGCCATGGCAACCGGGCGGGGGTCGGAGAGCTCCGGAGCTGGCGAGGCGCGCTGCAGCCGACCGCGGCCGCCTATCGACCCGGCCGCGGCGGCGGCCGGCGGCGCGCCGCCCCCATCTCTGGCGGCGGCGGCCCGCGGGGCGCCGGCGGCTCCGGAGGGCGCCGCAGCGTCCCGGCGGAGTCGTCAGCGCGCCGCCGGAGCCGCCGCCGCCGTCGCCACCGGCACCGGCGCCGGGCGCTGTTCAGCGCACGGCGTATTGATCAGGTGGGGGCGCGGCCGTGCTCCGGATCAGGGCTCCGGCGGGCCGCCTGTTGTCGCACATCACCGGGACAACGGCTGGCTCCGCGCCGTGACCGCCGCTCCGTCCTCAGGCGGCACGTGCATGTCCCCAGCCGCCTGGCCTCCGGACGGAGCGCGGCGCGACCGGCGGCGCGGCCGGTCCCGCTCCTGGACGCCCCGGGTTGGCGCCCCTCACATCGCTGGACCGTGACCCACGTCGATGTTAGACGTAGGCAGCCACTGCAGCTTGGTGTTCCTCTCTGTCGCCATTCCCTTTAGAAGATGCCTGTGCTCCGAGACGTCTTGTCCATCCCAGGGTAAACCTGTGGTCGTAGTCGCTGCATGGTTGTTTGCACCTCGCACACGCACTGGATGTTTCCACGGCGCTGCTGAGAAGGGTTGCTGCGTGCCATTACTTGGAAGTGAAGGATGTTCCTATGCATTCCGTTTGCAGGAGAAAGGTTCTCAGCCGAATTGCTTCGTCGAACCGGGCCCAGTGTTCAACTGCTGGAGACGTTAAGTATATAGGTGTGAGAGCGCCATTACTGGAAAGCTGGTCGATCTCCATGAGTGCGGCGGTTGGCGGAAGTCTCCTCAGGTCCCGCGAAGCCGAGTCCTCTCACACCGAGCTATTCCCTAACGACGTCGTACCACGAACGGAGAGCGGCGTGGAGCACGCCCGTCCTGCCACCTCACGGGGGCAAAGTGGCGAGTTTACTGCCCGCACACAGCGGGCCTGCCGGAGACCCCGCTGCCTTCCCCGCCACTGACGCCACGCTCCGTCCTTTCAGTTCGGCCTGGCGGGCGCGGGCGGCGCATTCGGGCCGGGCCAGGCCGGGCCGGGCGGCCAGTTCAGCCCGCGGCTGCCCAGCCCCGTGCCGCCGGCGCAGGGGCCGTTCTCGGGCGGCGCGCCGCGGCCGCCGCTACACGGGCCGCAGCCGTCGGCGTTCGCGCCGGTCACGCCCGCAACTGGGCGGCCCGGCGCGCGCCGGGCCGGCCTCGCCGCGGCCCCCGCTGGCCGCCGGCCACGGGCCGGCTGCGGCGCCGCCGGGCTTGCAAGGCTTCCCGGCCGGCACGCAGGCTCTGCCGGCGGCCGGCAGCCGCGGCTATCAGGAGGCCGGGGTCAACCCGCCGATGGCCGGCCAGGCCGGGTATCCGGGCTCGGCGGCCGGCTACCCAGCGGCGCCCGCCGCGCAGGGCTACCCACCATCTGCCAGCCAGGGTTACCCGAACGCCAGCCAGGGGTACCCATCCACCAGTCAGGGCTACCCGGCCACCAGTCAGGGCTACCCAACTGTCGGCCAGGGTTACCCGGCCGCCAGCCAGGGCTACCCTGCTGCGTCAGGCCGCCTTCAACCCGCCGACCTCCAGCCTCCCCACTGCCTCTCAGGGGAACGTGCACGCCACACAGGCGTTCCCGGCCACCTCTCAGGGGTACTCGGCCACCTCGCAGGGCTATCCCGCCGCCTCGCAGGGCTACCCCACCGCCTCGCAAGGCTACCCCACTGCCTCTCAAGACCACCAGGCCAGCTCGCAGAGCTACCCTCCAAACCAGCAGGGCCACCCGATGGCCGCCGCGGACGGGTTCGCTGCGGCATCTCAGCCCTTCTCCGGTCCGACTGCCGCGTACCCTGGCGCGGCTCAGGGGTACCCGTACCCCGAGCCGTCTCAGGGCTACCCGGGGCAGACGCCACACGCTGGCTCTGCGTTCGGACCCGGCGCGCCTCTCAACGGACCCACGCACCACCAGCTCGGCAACAGCGGACAGCAGCTCCAGAGGCAGCAGCTGTCGCACGCTCAGCAAAACGAGAATATGCTTAACCGAAATGTTCAGGTGAGGTTTGACGTCCAGCGGAGGGCGTTGGGGACAACAGAGGCGTTCGGGACAGCGGAGGGCGTTCAGGACGTTCGGGACGTTCGAGACAGCAGAGGGCGTTCAGGACATTAGAGGGCGCTCGGGACAGCCATTTGGGACAGCGGAGAGCGTTTGGGACGTTCGAGACAGCAGAGAACGTTCAGGACAGCGGAGAGCGTTCGGGACAGCCGTTTGAGACAGCGGAGAGCGTCTGGAACGGCGTAAGGCGTTCGAGACAGCGGAGAGTGTTCGGGACAGCGGGGGCGCTCGGATCAGCTGAGAGCGTTTGGGACAGCGGAGGGCTTTTGGGACAGTGTGGGCGTGCGATGGCTTGTTCATTGGCGCTACATTTGGTCTGATCCGCATCAAATCACGGTGGTAAGGCCGCCTCTCAACCGGCATTCAACGGCAGTGGCCTTCGTTGATTGCTTAACGTGCGATCGGGGGTCACGCCATCCGGATTGACAATGATAATCTGTTTACAATTGTTTCGGAATGACCCATGGGCGACTTAAACGCCACTTTCTTGCTGTCATTCTGTCTTGTACTAGTGTCCTTGTTGCGTCGTGCTATTCTGCTAACCGCTTCTTTCCTGTCAAGCGTCAGTAAAAATTAAAACGTTGCCCATGGTTATTTTGCAATTTTGCAAGTGCCCATACACACAAATAGTTGCAGGGGAAATTTCACAACCATGCGGCAAAGTCTCAAAACGTATGGCGGCAGCTGCAATAGGATTTTCATTTTCCATTCTGCTCAGCTTTAGCCAGGTGATTTGCTTAAACATCAACTGTTCCGCTGATGACCTATGCACTTACTTCGATGGATCATTGCTGCATCGCTTGTGTCAAGAAGTATCTGATGTTATCACGTAATTTGGGAACTGCAACTTTGTATCGTTCCTATGTCTGTAGAGTTCGTAGTGTCACTTATTCCGCTTTGTCATGAAGTTCACTATAAATGTGCTATTCATAGCTATATGTAACATGCTATACATACGGATACGTAAGATAAGTTTTCGTTGGTTGTTTAGGGCATTAGCGAGGAGCATTATTCACATTGATAAGACAGTAGTATTGGCCTTATTCCTCGGAGAAACCAGGAGAATAGAGATGTAGTTAGGTTGATATTTTGGCAACATGCCTTTATCGAAACAATAGCAGAAGTCAATCAACAACAACATCTTCTGCTATTGTTTTGATACAGGAATGTCGCCGAAATATCAACCTAACCATATCTCCATTCTTGTTGTTTTTCCGCCGAAAAAGGCTAATACTACTGTCTTAATTTTTTAAAAAAGTTTTCGTTGGTATCAAACTCAGGGCAATAGACGCGCTGCAATGACTTTTTCTCACGGCTTTCGAACCTGGGCCAGCAAGAAAAGACTTAAACCTTGCTAGAAATATAGCTCTACGCATGCTGCTACTTAGGATTGAACCAGAACCATCTTTTGGAAAACACCCCAGCTCAAAATTCCGTTCGCACCACATGAACCATCTCAGAATCTCCATCTACTGCGTCGTACCAAGCACCATTTCATGTTTCACCTCGAACTTTCACACTCCCTTATTTCGTCGTTAAATGACATCTATTGAGGCCCGATATTGCGCGGCGGCGGAGGTGGCCGCCGAATGGCTGGCTAGGGATCGGGTCGGCGCGCGCCGAATCAGCCCGGACTTACGTCGCGGTAATTCGTCCTCCGGTCCGGGAGCCGCGATATTAACCGCCATAAATCGGCAGCCGACGGGACGGTGCTCTCTTGAGATCGGCGGCCGACGGGACCGTGCTCTCTTGAGATCGGCGGCCGACGGGACCGTGTTCTCTTGAGATCGGCGGCCGACGGGACCGTGCTCTCTTGAGATCGGCGGCCGACGGGATCGTGCTCTCTTGAGATCGGCGGCCGACGGGACCGTGGTCTGTTGAGATCGGCGGCCGACGGGACGGTGCTCTCTTGAGATCGGCGGCCGATGGGACCGTGCTCTCTTGAGATCGGCGGCCGACGGGACCGTGGTCTCTTGAGATCGGCGGCCGACGGGACCGTGGTCTCTTGAGATCGGCGGCCGACGGGACGGTGCTCTCTTGAGATCGGCGGCCGATGGGACCGTGCTCTCTTGAGATCGGCGGCGCTCGGAGCCAGCTCGAGAGCAGATGGTTGCGGTCCGGGAGGTCTCGCACATATCTCTGCGATTGTGGAGTACAGCCCTGGTCTCTGCGACTGCACGCTGCCGCTCTCTGGTTGCGTGCCTCTGGTTGGTGACATCCTCCAGTCGCACACATGCAGTAGAAGCTACTCTCTGGTTGGCACCGGCCTCCCTGTGTACACATGCAGTAGGAGCTGCTCTCTGGTTGGCACCAGCCTCCAGGCGCACACATGCAGTAGGAGCTGCTCTCGGGTTGACGCCAGCCTCCAGGCGCACACATGCAGTAGAAGCTACTCTCTGGTTGACGCCAGCCTCCAGGCGTACACAAGCAGTAGAAGCTACTCTCTGGTTGACGCCAGCCTCCTGGCGCACACATGCAGTTGCAGCCACTCTCTGGTTGGCGCCAGCCTCCAGGCGCACGCATGCAGTAGGAGCTGCTCTCGGGTTGGCGTCAGCATCCAGGTGCATGCATGCAGTAGGAGCTACTTTCTGGTTGGCCCCAGCCTCCAGGTGCATACATGCAGTAAGAGCTGCCCTCTGGTGGGCGCCAGCCTCCAGGTGCATACACGCAGTAGGAGCTGCTCTGGGATTACGAAACTGCGGTCGGAGGTGGCAAGCATAACGCTGAGCACAAAGCCGACATAAGGGCGTGCGACAGCGACCAGAGTCGACCTACAGGCACGCGACAGCGACCAGAGCCGGCCTATTGAAACATAGCAACAGTCGGAGTGGAGTGCGACACATGCCTGTGGTCGGAGCTGGTCCCTGGACATTAAGCTGCCATCGGAGTCGGCCTATTGAAACATAGCAGCAGTCGGAGTGGAGTGCGACACATGCCTGTGGTCGGAGCTGGTCCCTGGATATTAAGCTGCCATCGGATCCGGCCTATTGAAACATAGCAACAGTCGGAATGGAGTGCGACACATGCCTGTGGTCGGAGCTGGTCCCTGGATATTAAGCTGCCATCGGATCCGGCCTATTGAAACATAGCAGCAGTCGGAGTGGAGTGCGACACGTGCCTGTGGTCGGAGCTGGTCCCTGGATATTAAGCTGCCATCGGATCCGGCCTATTGAAACATAGCAGCAGTCGGAGTGGAGTGCGACACATGCCTGTGGTCGGAGCTGGTCCCTGGACATTAAGCTGCCATCGGAGTCGGCCTCTCGGGACATGGTGGCTGTCGGAGACGGTATCTGGGCAATGACTTGTCAGCGCCTTGTGCATGGGATCATAAAACGGTCGGAAGTCCGGTGGCGTGATATTTAATCATGAGCTAGCCTCGGACCTCATGGCTGTCGTAGGAACGGGCTTCTTGACACATGATAGCCTAGTGGTCTACCGACGTCAGGCGAAGACTTGTAGTGCCTATTCAGAGGATGTGCAGATCTCTGTTCACGCCAGGGGCAGACGCATTTGCTAAGGTGGCGCAAGCATTGGAATTGATGATGGCGATCGTTATCTGCAATACTGATGCTGACAGTGTGGATTCATAACGGCAGAAATTGGGTTTTAGTATTCCAGGATATTTTGGCAAGCACCAAAAACATCCAGAAGTCATTGTGTTAAAAGGAGCACATGGCGAAAACAATATATGATAATGAATATGTAACAACAAACGGAGCAACATAGCAGTAACAAGCCGTTTCCCATCTCTGCAAACACACGATGCACTAGCGGTGGAGAATTACCCTATTTATTCGTACGTCGTCCACACGCCGCCCTAATGCCGCATGCGCAGCCCAGCACCAAGGGCTGGTCGAGTCGCCGATGGTTACACCGCAAAACATGCTTTGTGAAATATCTTATTTTGATTATATTTATTATCTTATTTATGATACCATCTAACCCACAATTTGACAGGCATAATTTTGTTCGAGGTAATCAGAGAATCGGTAGACTGGGTGAAACATTGTGGTCTAGTTCTTTCTGATTATGCTCTGTGGTGTTCACTGAGATAGGCAGGAGCTTCTGTGACATACCTGTTTTTGTCTGTCAGATTTTATCTCTGCTTCATTTCATATATCATTGGTCCCTGGTCGCAGCGCTGGGCCTTTATTTAGTGTAAAAATTCGAATCGTCACTCGTTGCAGGCAGGCAAAGGCGTAGCGATGCAGCAACGATCCGCGCTACACACAGCCTGGTCTCCTTACAGATCTGTGCGCGACGATTTGTTTTCCTTTTTGTTTAAGAAACGTCGAAAACGATTTGTTCATGTCGATTTGATTCAAAACTAACATAAAAACGGGCATGATAAGCACAAAACCTGCCCGCGAGCACCAGCGATCAGGCCGTTGGTAAACAAAACGTATGGTGGTGAGAGTTTTCTCCGCCATTTTGGAATATGACTGACGCCATTTTGGGATATGACTGACGCCAGTAGAAATTAACGTTTGTAAGTGACAAGGCGAACGGCGTACGCAGTTAAGCGATCTTACTGAGCACACATATTGGGCAAATCAAAGCGAATGAAGAATATGGCTTTCTGAGTGGTGAGATAGGAGTCCGACGGCGTTTCTCCAGTGCAGTAGGTACTTCAAGTGACAATGTTGACTAATTAAAAAGATTGAAAAAACTGGCGTATCGACCAGGGGCGTAGTTTCACAAAATGAGCTGGTGAGGGGGGAAATGAACAGTGAAACATTACCTAACCCACCCCAAAGCATGCCAACAAAGGAGTTTCTCCTTAGAAGTGACTCTCTGATCTGAAGCCTCCCATCCCAACTTGATAGGACACTACATCCTTGTTATGACCCAAATCAGTCGTATCTGATCTATGAGTGGAAAGTTCAGAAAACGTGGCATGCTCCCAGCCATGTGCAAAATTAAAGACTGTTATTCCGTAATGTTCTTCATGAATCTTCCCACCTCGTGATTCCAGTGGCAGCTGTCGACACTATGAACGTGGCAATGTACAAGATTAAAGAGTGTTGTTCCGTGATGTTCTTCATGAATCTTCCCACTTGTGATCCCAGTGACAGGTGTTGATACTCTGAACGTGGCAATGTACAAGATTAAAGACTGCTGTTCTGTGATGTTCCTCATGAATCTTCCCCCCCCCCCCCCTCGTGATCCCAGTGACAGCTGTTGATTCTCTGAACGTAGCAATGTACAATATTAAAGACTGTTGTTCCGTGATGTTCTTCATGAATTTTCCCCCCTCGTGATCCCAGTGACCGCTGTTGACACTCTGAACGTGGCAATGTGCACAAAGCAAGGTGTAACGCCATGCAGAGCATTTTCATAAAGCTTTGATTCAATAGGTAACGACTGCCAAAATTGTGATCATGTAAAGAACCAACAAGGTCATGCGTAGCCCAGATCAAAACGCACGCAGCTCTGTACTGGAATTCCTTGCTGAGCATGGGATGACGACGGACAATATGCTGACCAGATACCTTGTGTGTGTGCGTTTACGCGTGCGTGTGTTGTGTTTAGCGGGACAAGGTTTTCATATTCCACTCAGCCGAACTGCAACCACAATTATCCAGTTAAGATAAATGCAAACACTGCAGTGATAATTCACGGAGTAGTAAAGAAAATGATGGACGCCCAGTGTAGCCAGCCAGCCAGACCGGAAATAAAGGACTGAAACGTGTTTTGGACAAACTGTGGAAACTAGTTTCTCCAGAGCGATCCAAGTAATCTTCCGTGATTAATTCGCCTCTGCATCAAAGCACTGCCTGAGCCAGCCAGCCACCACGGTGAGACAACCACCCGCCGCCTCACCTTTCCGCTGGCTTTCAAGCGTGACGACGGGGGTCCGGTCGGGTCCGGCAGCAGCCGCGTGGGACCGCAGTTTTGCCGCCCAGCTAGCCGCAGCAGCTGCAGCTGGGCCCCTACCCCAGCGGTGGCCCAGGGCGTGGCCGATGCGGCGCACAGCATGGGGGTGCACCGTACACGGCCGGCCCCCAGGCGGCGACCATGGCGGGCCAAGCACTGCCGACCTACCCGCCAGTCACCATGGCGCCGGGCATGCTGACGCAGGCGCCGCAGCACATGATGAACAGCGCCGGCCGGCCGCCGGCCAGCAGCGCCAGTCAGGGCCCGTCCATCAGCGGCATGCTGGCCGACTTCAGCCGCGCGCTCGGTCAGTACTGCTCACTCTGTGTACTGTGCCCAGTCAGCACAGCCCGCCACGTCCGCCGCACCCGGTCAGTGTCTGCCGTGCTCGGTGAGAACGGCCCGCCCGATTTGCCACACGCGGTCCGTGCAGCCCGTTCCGTCCGTTGCACGCGGTCAGTACAGCCCGCCCTGTCTGCCTTACGCGGTCGGTGAGGCCCGCTCCGTCTGACGCATTCGGTCAGTAAAGCCCGCTCTGTCTGTCGTACGCGGTCATTACAGCCTGTTCTGTCTGTCGTACGCGGTCAGTGAGGCCCGCTCTGTCCGTCGTACGCGGTCAGTGAGGCCCGCTCTGTCCGCCGCATCCGCCCAGTACAGGTCGCCATGTTTGCCACACTCGGTCAGTACAAGCGGCTTAATGTTCCGAACTCTAGCGTGGGTTCTGTAAGAGCTAATATGGGCTTCTGTCCCCGTAATGGACACCAAATGACCGCTGGTGTTTGCACGCTCTACGACCGAATAACCGCTATTCCGCTACTGAAAATGTTTCTAGGTGTCTATCGGTGTCGGATACACTG